CTAGATGAGGGAGGTCTTGCTAATAATCTCAATATTTAATTGTAATTCTTATTTTTGTAATGTTAAAATAATATATAAAATAAATAAAAACTCAAAAATTCAAAACACAAATTTATAAACCTCTCCATATTATTTCTGATTTATAATTCTTATTTCATATTTTTCATTATATGTTAATTTTATTGTAGAAGTTTAATAAACAAAACTCTTCAAAAGCATATTTTTTCCCAAAAAAATTAATATATTTTGAAAAAACTTTTAAAAACATCTTATTATTATATATAAAAAAAAAAAAAATGCCGATAATACTAATCAACCACCCATTATTTACTCGATATTGACTTGTTGGCAACCATTACCCAACCCATAATGGTCGGGTCGATAATTGTTTTCAATTTTCAGAGAAATCAGATCGTCGAGTCGGACAAGTAATTAACCGATTATTGTCCGATCTGACCCATATCCAGTTCTACATACAACAATTATTGTAAAAAACTACCAACTTTTCAAAATAAGGTCGTGGGTTGTTGAAATTCGAGTATATTATATTATAAAAAAATAGCAATTTAAGTATTTATAATTATGTGATTGGTTGACTGGGGATTATATCTCAAAGAAAATTCAATCCTGAGTGGCAGCCGCAATATTGGACAGCCGCCACCTAAATTACTGGAAAACCTCCGACTTTTCTTTCAATTCTTTCATCTATATTAAACAATTTTATTTTTATTTTTTCAAAATTGAACATATAATTAATTTTCCCACTGTTGTAAATTGTAATGGCTAATTCGACCAACCCAATAGAATCTCCGGCGGCAGACTCGCCGTACGAGCTTCTGCTCCGGGCGGCGCTGCTCACACCAATCACCCACTATTTACTGATACTTTATTTAATATTAATTGTGTTTATTTATAATTTTCTGGAAATTCATTTTCTCCGAGATTTATTCTCCGGGTTCAGAGGACAACCCGTCACTTTGACGTTCAACCCATCTTCTCAGCTCTACAACGACGTCGTTTCCAAGTGCACAGTTCTTCATGGAAGGTACATTGTTATAACTAAAGGCCATACCGTTTTCACCCCTCAAGTTTGCACCAATTGTTATATTTGGTCCCGCATGTTCACAAAAAAAACACACATTTGATCCCTCGTGTTTTGAAAATTCAATATTTTTAATCATTTTCGTCAACTTCGTGTTAAAACTAACGGGATCAAATGTGTTTTGAGGGATGAAAACTGTAAATTTCCTGTAACGAAACATAATTTGAAAATTCCTTAATTTATAATAGGGTAAAATTCATTTTGCACCCCGCACCCCTGTACTACGCGAAACGTATGATTTAAACCCTTTATGTATAGAAAACTGAAAAACCCTAAAATCACGACAAAAAAAATTAATTAGGGGATTCTATCAGACATAAAGCAGGGTAAAAGAGTCTTTCCACACTCAAATTTAATATCGTTAAAAGTTTGAACATTGACCGTAAACAAAAGGTGGCATTTGATGTTTTCTATATACATTAAGGGGGTAAATGATACATTTCGCATTGTAAACGTGTGCAAAATGAATTTTCCCTGTATATAATACGACTCGTATATTTAATGAAGCTTTAATTTGTTTTTTTAAAATAGGTATTTATCGACCCCTTGGTTATGTAGCCCTCATCTTCAAACTTCATTCCTACATTACTTCGGAAATTCGCCCGTTGTCAACTATCGAAGGTGAATTTTTTTAATTAATTTATTTATTTTTTAATTCTTGAAATAAATGGTTTGTTTATGTGACAATGTTTGCAATAATCTATGTAGTAATAAATAATTAATTAATAATATGATGATGATTTTCCAGAGAGGTTTTTATGGCGTCTGACGGTGGAACGATAGCTTTGGATTGGGTGATCAATGCCGAAGGTAACACTCTTTCGCATAAGTTTGTTTTTTAAAAACCGTAAATACGAATGTTAGACATTTCTAGATATTGAAATATTACGATATAACGAGATTATCGTTTTCGTAGATAAATTGGAAATTTTATCGTTTGTAATTAATTTGACATGTTTTCTTTATTGAATTGAACGATGCAGTGCAATGTGGAGATACGAGTCCGATTATGATTATTATTCCGGGCTTAGCAAGTGCTTCCGATTCTGCCGTAAGCTTGTAAAATTAGACGTGGATAAACAAAAGAAGAAATTTAGCTATTATTTAATAGTTTCTATTCATAAAAAACGAAAAAGTTTATATCGACTTCAATTTTGTTTTTTTTTTAATTTTTGTCGCGTGTATTATGTATATATATTACACAGTATGTCAAGCATTTGGCTTTCAAGATGGCCAAGGGCGGATACAATGTCGTAGTGAGCAATCATCGTGGACTTGGCGGTGTACCGATAACTGTGAGTTGTGGGCCCCACGTGAAATTATTTCATTTAAATTCGATTATTATTTTTAAGTTCCGAGTAAATAAATAAAAAAATATCAAGTAGAAGGAATTCCATATTTTTTTTTTCTTTTTTAATTTCTAATTTAAAATGTTGTGAAATTGCATGCGAAATAAACAGTCGGATAGGTTCTACACTGCTGACCGCACTGACGATTTACGAGCACTGGTCGACCATATTCACCGACAATACCCTGAAGCTCCGATATTCGCTGTTGGCACTAGTGTTGGTGCTAATATTCTGGTACAATTATTTTTACATTATGATATTTAAAATTGATGAGTTCTCTTCATATAATTTATTACATTATGCAAATCGTCACCGTCTTCCGTTGGAATTTTTTCAGGTTAAATATCTTGGCGAGGACGGAGTCGATGCTCCGATAATCGGAGCTGCAGCAATATGTTCTCCTTGGGACTCTTTGGTTAGGACTTCTAATTTTAATAACTTTTTTTCGGCATTTTCGATTTTGCTTTATTTATTTCTTATTAATTTTTTTTTCTTCTTCAGATAGTTGACAGGTTCTTGAGACGTAGATTCGTGCAGCGTTTATATAACAAAGCTCTCACCGCGGGATTGAAAGATTACGCAAATTGGTACGTTTCTTGATTTTGATAAGCATATATATGCAACCAACTTTGATGTAATGTGGAGTTCGTTTTATAGGCACAAGGATGTACTTTCTCGTCTTTCGAATTGGGAAGGTGTCAAACAGGTAATGAAAAAAAAAATCTTTAAAATAAGTTCGATCTATTTAATAAATCGAAATATGTTTAGAATCGATGAAGATGGAAATACATTACAACTAATGATGTTAGTTTCACAGGCACGTTCAGTTCGGGAATTCGATGATGCCGCAACTCGATTTCTTGCTAACTGTGAGGTAGTAACAAAATTAATAATAAATTTATACGACAATTGTTTTCTCGTTCGGCTGATGTTAACGACGTTTTTTTTTCTTTCACAGACGGTGGATGCGTATTACAGGCAGTGCAGCAGTTGTAAGAATGTGGAAGGTGTAAGAGTACCACTTCTCTGTATTAGTTCTTTAGATGATCCAATTTGTACTAGTGAAGCTATTCCATGGGATGAATGCAGGTTTTTTTTTTTTTTTAATTATTAATTTGTTTTTTCAATATATATTATGTTAATAAATATATAATAATAGATTAAAAAAAATAAAAATTGAAATTTGCAGGTTGAACAATAATGTAGTATTGGCTACCACACAGCATGGAGGGCACCTACCATATTTTGAAGGATTCACTGCAAAAAGTGTTTGGTAATATATAATCTGATTTGTACACACTACACACACTAAAAACACATAATACACCTGACCTAGGGGTGGAAATCGGAATGGAATTTCCGAATTCCGCCAATTCCGATCCGAATATATTCGAATTTGGAACTGTATTTTTCATTCCGATTTCCGATTTTTCTGAATTTATTTGGAATGGAATCGGAATGGTATAGAAAATTACCGGAAATTCCGATTTCCGATCCAATTTTAGTTTCAAATATTTCTATGGTTTTTTGAAATATATAATATAATTTTATGATATATTTTATAATCCCATAATATAAATTACGTTGTATTTTATATTGTATTTTTCCTTATAAGAAAATTTACGTTTCAATTTGTTGTAACTACATGTATTTTTATTTGTTGCATTTTGTCGAACTTTTTTTTTTTCTTGCATTTTCCTGCAAATTTTCAAAAAAGATAGCAAATATTGTGAAAATTTCCATTATATCCGAATTGAACTAGATATTATAAGCTATTGTAATTTTCGAAACTCCGCCGATTCCGAGGTATTCTGAAATCGGAATGAATTTTTGCACTCCAATTTTTTTTTACTTCTGATATTTTTTTTTTTTCTGATATTTTTCGAAAAAGCCATTTTCCATCCACTCGGTCTGATTTCTAACCCTAACTTTAGCTTTGTGTTTTTCTTTTTTCAGTAATTTTTTTGGTTTTGTTTATGTTGTAGGTGGGTAAGGGCAGTTGATGAATTTTTTACTACCCTGAGCCTCCAAAAGAAAGAGGTGAAGTATTTCTCATCTCTGCAAATTATTTATCCTCAATAATTATTTGATATTTTCTCCCTCAGAAATTTCGATAATATTCATTCATTAAAAATATTTAAACGAGAAATTTCGAATGGACTGAAATTCGAGGTGGAGTCTTGGATAACAACTGAAGTGAATTTAACGTGAACATGTTCGACCCTTGCAGATCACAGTTTCCTTCATCAATCCTATACAAACATCGGATGGTCAATCCCCTTTGACAAACGTAACGGAAAACGGCACTGTTCCGACGCAAGGGCAAAATGGGAACATTGGCATCAGACATCGCCCAGAAAGAGAAATCGAATAATGTCCGATTATTTATCAGCCCATCAAGTGATCAACAATATTGATACCACAAATATACGTATACAGATAAATAACACAAATTTCCCAGAAAGAAACGTGAAAATTGTAGCAGACTTTTTATCAATTGTTTTCAGTGGAATATAACACTTCGAAAATCAAAATCATGGATTTCTATGTCGAATAAAATAACTCTCTTACAGCAGTCAAAGTCTATTTCTTTCATTCTAATGAATTCTTCATGTGAATTTTGCTACGAGAGAGAGAGAGAGAGAGAGCTCTAACAACTGTTTTCTCCATGCTAGAACTACGGCTACATTCAAGAAACCGCATAAGTGGTCAAAGTTGAATGAAGACCTACCCCATCTTCGATTGTTTTAATGAAGTGAACCCAAAAACACGAGAAAAAAAAAATACTGTAATAAAAATATAACACCGTAAGAACGAACTTCGGATCTAATGAGCCTTAGTCATCTTAAGCTTCGGCATGCCCTTCTTCATTTGACGAGAACGCTCTTTAGCTTCCTTTTTACGAAGAGCCTCAGCACTTAGCTTCGATTGAGCCTCTTCTAGTTTCTTCCTTTGCTCGGCCTTCTTTTGCTGCAGAGCTTCTTGCCTCGCGTTTTGTAGTTCTTTGTACAACTCCTGGGCAACCTTTGATCTCGCTGCTTCTGTTTTAGTTCGAGCCTGAGGTACGTTGCAGTTTCAACGAGTGATTAAAATTACACACAAAAAAAATGCTGAGATTTTTAGCGAAATGTTTGATTGTCGATTGTACTTACTTGTGAGCTGACTTTGTACCGTCCAATTAGATCGATGTAGTAAGGTACAAGAGCAACCAAACGGGTCATGTCAGCCATGTTGTTAGCGTCGGGGATAGCGAATTTGAAAACTAGCATCTTCTTGTTTGAGCCCAAGTGCTGATCGGAGAAGTGCATTGAGATGAAACCTTTCCCGAATTTCTCGAAAGCTTTATCACCAAAAACCTACACGAATTCCCAAAGAACATTACGGTTACTTTAAATAAATAGTGTTGAGTTCGGCTTTCGGAGGGGTCGGTGTGAGCAACTAATACATAGAGGGGCCGTTCGTTCTACATCATAACGACATGTTGGTTTCACCTCCCGATTAGATTACTAAACACCAAAATTAAACGAAGACTTCTCATCACAAAGAAAGACTCGGAACTACTTAAACAAATGCTTAATTGTCGAGCTAATTACTGAAAGTCTCCAAATTCCGATCGATTCAGCATACGGAACTAACATTAAACATTTACCAATTAATTTGCATGATACATTATAAGA